GGTGGGGGGCGTGGGGGAGGGACATAGGGCAGGGATGCAGGGCAGGGACACGGGGCAGGGATGCAGGGCAGGGACATGGGGCAGGGACATGGGGCAGGGATGCAGGGCAGGGACACGGGGCAGGGATGCAGGGCAGGGACATGGGGCAGGGACATGGGGCAGGGATGCAGGGCAGGGACACGGGGCAGGGATGCAGGGCAGGGACATGGGGCAGGGACATGGGGCAGGGATGCAGGGCAGGGACACGGGGCAGGGATGCAGGGCAGGGACATGGGGCAGGGACATGGGGCAGGGATGCAGGGCAGGGACACGGGGCAGGGATGCAGGGCAGGGACATGGGGCAGGGACATGGGGCAGGGATGCAGGGCAGGGACACGGGGCAGGGACACGGGGCAGAGTTTCAGCCCCCCTCTCTTGCAGACCCCAAGGAGCTCCAGCGGCCGCTGGCCCACGAGTGCCTGGGCGAAACCCTGCGCATCCTGCGCCAGGTCATCAACAAGTACCCGCTGCTCAACACCTTGGAGACCCTGACGGCCGCCGGGACCCTCATCTCCAAAGTCAAGGGTGAGACGATGGGGCTGGGAGGTCTGTCCCGCTCCCCTCCTGCCCTACGCCGGGACGTGTGGGGCTCAGGGCTGCCGGGAGCGGAGCTGCCCCACGGCCAGGCGGAGAGGGTGAAAGCATCAACTGCCTGCTCGCTGTGGTCTAGTTTTAAGGACGATGTAGTGTCAGAAATGACAAGAACCCAGATCCCTGCATGGGGGTTTCCAAGCATGGCCACAGGAAAAACACTTAAATAATTGGACCCCGCTCCTGGCAGCACCTCGTGTTTATAAAGGCAGGGTCTGCGGAGCCCAGATCCTGGCCAGGGCACCACCTCCTGCCCACAGTTACACCAGCGGGGAGGGGGGGACTGCACTAACCGCAGGCAGAGCACAACATTTTGCGTCACCACACCGCTTCCTGGACACCGAACAGCAACTGCGAGGGGACAGGAAGCCTCGTGGCGGGTGGCAGGCGGTCTGCCGTGGGGCTGGCCCCACACAAGGCTGGGATGGAGCGAGTTTAGGCTGCCCACCTTCCCGGGCAGAGGGGTGGGGGCAGATCCTAGCCCCCCCCCCATTCCCGGCTCACCGGCCCCGGCACCCCAGAGGAGCCTTGGCTGCCGGTGAAGGCGTCACAAGCGTCTCTTGGCCTGGGCGTCTGCCAAGCGCTGTCTGCACCGGTTCCCGCTGCCGCCGGCAGTTCCTCTTTTGGCTGCAGCCGAGAGCCCTCCAGGAGGAAGCCACCCCCTGCCTCGGAGCAGGGGGCTCTGGAGGTGCTGTAAGGCGGTGGAACAGGTCCACGGTCAATTTTCCAGCAGCCCGGGGTAATAGGAGTGAACAGAAGCACAGAATCATAGAATCGTTTAGGTTGGAAAAGACCTTTAAGATCATCCATGAGCCAAGCGATGCTGGCAGGGAAGTCAGCCCCAGGAGAAGCGGGGGGCAGAGACACTGTGCTACGCTAGAGAATGTCCGTCATCCATAGGGACAGTCCTCTCCTCCCCACTGCTCCCTCCAGCCCGACCCAGCCCCAGCCCCAGCCCCACGGCTGGGCTGAGACCAGCAGGACCTTCTCCTGCCTGGGACAGGGACAGGGACAGGCGCTCGCAGCAACAGCGCTTCCGCATTTCCTCATTTCCAGGTTTCCATTACGAATCCAACAATGAGACGGACAAGCGGGAGTTCGAGAAGGCCGTGGAGACCATCGCAGTGTCCTTCAGCAGCACGTAAGGGACCTTTGGCCAGCCATCCCCCGGAGAAGGTCCCCCGATGGACCCCACTGCCCCAGCCAGCCAGGACACGTCTCCACCCCTCGCCCCGTCCCCTCACCCATGCACAGCCCTGCGGTGGAGCTGGTTTGGGGACCGGAGAGACCCCGCAGGGAGGGATTCATTCCTCCTGCCGCTCGCACCAGCAATTCCTCCAGCACCAAGGAGGGACCCCAAAGCCTGCTCGAGCCCATAGGCTCCATCTCCAGGCCCCTCTTCAGAGCCAAGCTCTGCTCCTCCACCTGAATGACCAAGACCTCATCACGTGGAGCTGAGCTGATCCCCACTGAAACCAGTATTGCAGCTCCGACCGCCCTGGCCCTCGCCAGGTCCCTCGGACGTGGGTCGGGTGCTGCTGGGTGACAGCCCTGCTTGTCACTGCCCGTCCTGAGCCCAGTCGTATTCCTCCCATCACAGCGTGTCCGAATTCCTCATGGGGGAGGTGGACAGCAGCACCATCCTCTCCATCCCACCCAGCGACCAGAACCAGGTGAGTGATGCCCGCTCCCATCGCGCGGGGCTCGGGATGTGCCGGGGTGCTCAGACTGGGCTCGGGAAGGGGCTGAGCCCCCAAGCCCCAGACGTGGGATTCCCAGCTCACCTCCAAGCCCATCGGAGCTGCGTGGAGGCATTGCCTCCTTGCTCCTGTCCTCACCGCCATCCCAAGGAGGGGAAAAGCCACTTGGCAACTCGATCCAAAGGGCAAAGTGGCTGGGGAAGGGATGGAGCAGTTCTGTCAACAGAGGCAGAAAATAGGGCTCTGGTTGCCCTCCTTAGCTCTGCCCTGGTCTGGTGCGTGCACAGAGCCAGGTATTTCTCCAGCGACGTTCCCGTTAGCTCATGGCCTTCCTGTGGGGCCACGGGCTGGGCACAGGAGACTTCCAGCAACAGCAGAAAGGCTCCAGCAGCTCCGGCTTTCTGCCTCCCCTCCATCCGCCAGCCCCTCCAACTACTCCCCCTCCTCTTCTCTGATCAGTCCCTTTTCTTTCCCAATTCCCAAAGACTATGGAGAGCCTCTACGGGGGGATCCCTGGGCCTGGAGGAGACGGCATGCCTTCGGGCATGGAAAGCTATGACACGGGTAAGCAGGCAGACTCTGGCTGCAGGGTTTGGGGTGGTGGGGTACCCAGCTGAGCAGAGCGGCTGACAGGAACCGGTGTCCTCCCCATCACCGCCGCGGTTCTGAGCCGCACACGGCTCCTCGGCTGAGAAAAGGCAGCAGAGCTGCTGCCGGCACCGGGGCCAGCAGGACACCAGCACAGCACGATGCCGGCACAGATACGGGGAGGTTTGCACTGAAAGCTCACAGAGTTTGCAGGGGTGAGCCAGGCTGTCCTGGGGTTTTTCCGGCTGTTCCAGTGTTCCTGGGAACTTGAAGGCGTTTGGAGGGAGCGGGTCAGCGAGCGCAGCGGCAGTAGCACATTCAGGGTCTCCTCTTTCTCTCCCCACCTTCCCCCTCGTCCCATCGCAGGCCGTCCTCCTGCTGAGGAAGTGGACGTGATGCTGCAGCGCTGCGAGGGGGGGGTAGATGCTGCCCTCCAGTACGCCAAAACCATCTCCAAGTACATGAAGGACCTCATTGGCTACCTGGAGAAAAGGACCACGCTGGGTGAGATGGGGAGGACGGCGGGTGGGTCCTCTCCGGAGCGGGGCTGAACTCCTCAGAGCAGCATCAGAATAGGTCGAGGTCCTCTACGATCACGTGCACGAGGCTGAGGGAGTCAGACATTGCAAGGGCAGTGGTGAACTTCATTCCTGAAGTTCTTGATTTCTTTTCCAAAAGGAACCCGGTCAGCAGGGAAATCCTGGTGTCTCGTATGTCTTTTCACTTCCAACCTTCTTTTTTTTTTCCAGAGATGGAGTTTGCCAAAGGGCTTCAGAAGATGGCAAACAGCTGCAAGCAAACCATCAGTCAGGAGGTAAGTCCACATGTCCCTAAAGCCACCCGGCATCCAGGCTGTATCAGGAGCAAGCAGCCCTGGAGAGCTTTATTTGTGTGACCCGGCTTTTTGCCCAGGAGAACAAGCGTGCAGTTCTCCAAAGCTCTCTTGGCAAAATTCACGCATCCAAACCAAAGCAAAGGATAAGGCTGAGACCCTGCAAAAGCTTGTCCATCGGTAGCTGATATTTCTGCCTGGGCCAGCAGGGAGAGCCTGGGCAGGCTCACACGCCAGATGTGCCCCGGCCCCTGCTCTCCAGCCCAGGCACCGGGCAGGTGACACCACGGGGCCCTTCCAGCCCCATCCGACCAACCTCCAAGCAGTCTCCTGGCAGCTTCCAACCGCGCTGTCTTGGTCCAGGATGGGGCTTTTACCAGTAGCAGGCAGCCAAACTGAGCCTCTTGCTCTTCTTCCCTGAACGCAGCACGGAGGACGCATCTCCTTTGGTTCACGCTGCGGTGCTGGGGCTCAGGGTCGCGTGTGTTCTTGTTTCTCAGACCAACATGCCTTTCCTGTCCATCTACCTGCTGGCCCTGGAGCAGGATATGGAGCACGGGACGTCGGTTCTGCAGGCTGCCAACACCCTGCAGCACCAAACCTTCCTGCAGGTGAGAGGATCAGCGGCGCGGGCTCACCTGCGCGCACGCCGGGATGCGCAGACGCATGCTGAGTCCCGAGCTGGGTGACTCGGTGCGGGGTGGACGCGGTCCCTGAGGTCTGTGTCCCTGGGGAGCTGTGGATGCCACCTTCCCCAGGAAAGGCCATCTCAGAAGGGTCTTCCCTGGCAGCGAGGGAGGCTGGTGGTCTCCTTAGTCCTTGTGACATGAGCAGCACTTCCAGAAACTGGAATCCTGCTTGGCTCAGCCACTGCTCGGGCTCAGCATTCCCCACTTTGCTCTGGCCTCAGCAGATCAGCGAGCCCAAGCTCTCAGCCAGTTGCCAGGTCCTTCGAGGGGTTAGATACAGGGTCTAGGAGAAACCCCCCAAATCTGGCAAATCAAGCAGCACCTCCTTATTGATCTCCACTTCATCCGAGGCCTCTCTGCATTCCCACGTTCCTCCGCCAGCCCAGGCCAAGTTGCGCCCATCTCCCAGGGACAGCCACTCTCCAGAGCTGTTTTCCAGGAGGGAACTGATGGCCTGTCGCTGCAGAGGGCGGCTCTTTGCTTCTCTCAGTCTGGAAGGAAACTGCATCTGGCACTTCCCAGGCTGCAGATTTTTGTCCATGACACAAGCCCTCCCTCCCACAAACCGAGCCCAGATGTGCTGGGGAATGATAACAACCGCGCCAGGGAACTTCTCCTTGCAAAGCCTTTTGCAAAGGGAAGGGCAGCGAGCGTTTAGCTCAGGCCACCGTGGGGGCTGTTTCTCCCTCCCGATTCAGCCGCTAACAGTGAGGCGCCTTGAACATGAAAAACGGAGGAAGGAGATCAAGGAGCAGTGGCACCGGGCGCAGAGGAAACTGGTGAGTAACAGCTGGGTTTGCGCTCCCCGAGCCCGGTCTGGAGTACCCCCGTGACACGTACGCCTCCGAGGATGCTCCTTGCCCCTCTCCAGTAGCCTCTGCTGTGCTGGGGGACGCCGGACAAACACGGGATGCAGGGGCCAGGAAAGGGGCCCTGGGGAGCTTTGCGGGGGATAACGATCCCCTTGCAGAGATCAGTCCTCACCCTGGGTCACTGTTTTCACCGGCAGCAAGAGGCAGAGGTCAACCTGCGCAAGGCCAAGCAGATATACATGCAGCGCAGCGAGGAGCACGACAAGGCCAAGTACATGGCAGTGAAAGCAGAAGAAGAGCAGCAGAACACCGCCAGCAGCATCACCACCAAAACCCTGGACAAGAAGAGGCGGCTGGAAGAGGAAGCCAAGAACAAGGTAGGAACGTGACCGCTCTGGACTCTGGCTGAGCTTCTCGCTCCTTGCTGTCCTAGTACAGGGGCAGCCCTGAGCTAAGTGGACTGAACAGAGCTCCCCACGGA